AAGGAAATGATTCTAAGCTGACTTCGAAGCCTTCACATCTCTATATCATCATTTGTAAAGTATTCAAGAATAGCATTAGATGGCTCTCTACGGGCATTTTCAATATAGAAAATACCTCAGGAGATAATGTAAGAATGAAAGGCCAACAAAATTTATTCCGGCTAAAGCATCTGTTTGAAAAGTATTTGAAGAATTAATATACAAAATTAAATCTGACAATCTGAGTTTTCAGTGTTTCAGTAGTTATAAAAACACCGGCCTGAACTTAATAGCAGCACTCACTAAATGCTAGCCAGCTTCTTCACAATGCCGTGAGATTTGGTCCTATTACTTTTTGGCCTTACTTGCCTTAAGAAACTGAGGCAGAGGGCTACAATCCTTCTGTCCAAGGTCAAACCGTTTGTTAACGGCAGTGCTGACAGTCTGGCCCCCATGTTTGTGTTCTTAGGCACTGAACCAGATGGCCACTTGCCACATTGTGAAGCAATTTGCTTATCAACTTACACATGTGTCCTTAGTAAGCAGTGAAGCAAAGGCAGGACTCTATCCAGCTCTAATCTACTTTAAAGTCAATGCTCTTTCCCATCTTTCCTTCACATTACCCCACTTCCACCTATTTATAAGATCTGTCCTATCCCCTTGTCACTTTGACTCTCCAGGATCCATTAAGATAAGTATATGTGTGAGTACTCAGTCCAACACAGACACCAGAGAAAGTGCTGGGGTGATGACCCCACCACCAGCCCCCTGATCACAGTATCAGCCCTGTAGCTTTCTGGGCACTGTTGACTTTCTGGGTGCCCCCCTTATTTTCCTCAAGAAGGGAGTGTGGTTGATGGGATCAGTGCTAGAACAGGAGAAAGAGACGGAGCTGTAGTCTCAGAGGCCTCTGAATGGGGACATGTCACCTGACAGGCTGGACACATGGTTCCTGCTCTGTACACTGAGCCCACAGTTTTCTCAACTGCCCAGGACCAAGCATGGCAACGAAGTGATAGAGGAGGAACTGAATGAGGCTCAGACCATAAATTCCACAAAAGTCTTCAAAGATAGTAAACATCCCACATTTGTTTGACTCCCAAATCTCCATTTATGTCCCACCCAAAGTCCTTTTAATCTATTGGATCTCTGAATTGGTTTCCCATAGTGAGGGGAACAAGGACTATTTCTAACAGGAACTCAATGACTGGCTCTTTGGCCTTCCCCCCTCCCCCCCAAGGGAGGAGCAGTCCTGTTAGGCCACGGAGGAGGGCTTTGCAGCCAGTCCTGAAGATACCTGATAAAACAGGATCAGATGAATGGGGAGGAGGTCCCCCCTATTAGTGGACTTGGCAAGGGGCACGGTGGAGATGAGGGAGGGAGGGAGGGACTGGGAGGGAATGAGGGATCGGGACATGGCTGAGATACAGAGTTAATAAAATGTAACTGATAAGAAAAAAATAAAATTAAAAAAAAAAAAAAGAGAAAGTACCAAAAAGCCCAGGAATTCTTTGAAGGTGTCTCAGAAGTCATTGGGGAAAGGAATTGGGATGACAGAGTGTCTAGAGTGTTGTCTTCTTCTGATATGTGCACATGTCCACCCCCCCACAACCAAACAGTGCACAGCAATTCTATTCTGACCTGTCTAATGAATCAGCTTTCCATGTATTTAAAGAAGTTTGTGGACCCTTTTCAAGACAGATCTTCAAGCACCCCCAACCCCATGTGCAGCATCTAGGAAAGGATCTGGGTTCTAAAGACATAATAATAGCTTGTTATTCCTGTCAGAGGAGGCTTTATATTCCCCTATCTAGGTCAGTTCTGAAGAGCCTTATACTTTGAAAGCAAAGGGCATGCCAGGTCAGCTGCTGACCCAAACACAAATGAGACCTTGTGTGATCATGCTGGTCAAGATGGCATTCCTATCCAGAGCCAGTCAGTGAGAACACTATCATCCCTAGAAGGCTTCAATTAGAGATGAGAGTCAGAAAGTATTTTATGGCATCATTCTAAATTACTTTTGTTTTTTTGCCTTCCAATCTTGCTTCATTTCCCATTTTTCCTGTCTGCTTTTAGTCCTGCCTCCTTCTTCTGGACCCAAATTACGCTCACGGACTAGGAAGAAGTGGTCTGTGCTGTAATAATAATAATAATAATAATAATAATAATAATAATAATAATAATAA